GCCACGTACCATCCGGCTATGGAATGAGCTCCCCTCCACGGTGTTTCCCGAGCGCTATGACATGTCCTTCTTCAAACGAGGCTTATGGAGAGTATTAAGCGGTAGGCAGCGGCTTGGCTCTGCCCCTGGCATTGCTGAAGTCCATGGGCGACGGTAACCACTCACCATCAGGTGGGCCGTATGCCCGTCTGCCTACAAAGGCAATAAAAAATAAATAAAAAAATGCATTCTGTTATAATTCATTCAAAAATAGACCTTATGCGCACAGTATTCTGGGAGTGCAGTGACGATAGCTGCACAATACCAACCGGAGCAGTATGAAAGACTAAGGGCGCGGATACGAGCAATCAATGCAGCTGCGATGTCGCCTCACGCCGTACATGCCACCCATGTTCCTGTACATCCGGACTTACACACCATGTACCCAAGGTAAGTTAATCGAAAACAAATATTCTTTTATATTATAAAATATACACTTATACTATATTTTTTTTAAATCAACTTGATTAATACCGTTAAGTAATAGTAAAGTACAATGTAAGCTGTTTTAAAATTGAACTAGTGGTCCCTCAGTTGTCGAAATTCGAATTTAATTAATTGATATTATAAGTTTGAACATTATTATGGGTCTATTGTCATAGACTATTTAACTTCTATAATTACAGATTTCGCCAAGACTACACTATTGACAAATAATATTAAAGATAAACAATAATAATTCTTTATCATTTTTTTCTTATTGAGTAGGTAGACGAACAACCTCATGCCCCTCCTGGTGTTTGACGAAGACATATTTACGTGAATTCCAATACCGAACTTGAGACCTGAAATCTAAGTCCCAATTGGAAAGCATAACGGCTATGAATAGGCTGTGAATAAGAGAGGAGTGAGTGAAGAAATGGTATATGATAGAGGAGTGTGAAAGGAGAAATGATGAATGGCTGTGAAATAGACAGGATGATGGTACCCTTTTCGGTTCACAAGCTATTGTTACATCACTAAAAATCTTACTCTACTACTACAATATCATTATAGACTTGGAACTAATTACTACTGTAATTGATACAGCTGAAACTTTGATGATAGACCTTGAACAACTAATTAAAATCAGAGCTAAAATCCGATTACTGTTTATAATCCCAGCCAGGAGCAACGTTATGAAAGCTACTCATTTGCATGATAATGATTTTCTAATACGTTACTCACGCCCCTTCAAAACGACGCGCCTAATTACTGTATAAATTAGTATCTATATAATAATATGTGAAGCAAAAATTTTGTATCCCTTTTTACGCTAATTTGGCGGACGAAGGAGTATGAAATTTTATTGGAAGCGTTAACAGCTATTTATCGTGTAAAAATTTAATAAGTTCTCTGCATCGAATATCCGTTTTTATAAAAGTTTTATATATCTCAATGTCTATCATCTATTTTCTTTTGTTAAAATCATTGACACAGTGTTAAGATATGCCAATGTTAATACCATACATAATATTGTTATAATAATGCTAATATAAAACACTGAAATGATGACTGATGATGACAGTCAACTGAAAATGAAGGTTAAATTCAATAGATCTCTGAAAAATTACAGTACATTCTTAATATGTGTAAAGAAAAAAAAATGTAACGAGAACATTTTCATTTTTATGACATGACTAAATTATGGGCACAAGCTTCCGACCGGCCAGCTGTGCTCATCATATAATCTGCCTTGATGTTACACAGAAATGTTGGAGATTTATTAAGTAATAAAATATTTAGCAATGAGAATTAATATCGCATTTTAGTAGCAAAACGGACTTAAAATTAGACCATTAAATAAATTAAACATTTCTGGTAGATGTACTATTGTCATATTATATTATGTCCAACGATTTTGAATGACTAAATACTATTATTACCATTGTATTTAACTACCAAAATCATAGATAATTGTTTAATGTACATGAAGTAAATAAGTTTAAAAAAAGAAGTGTTTAAAATAGAAATTTATCCAAAATTTTTCGTTCCGGAATCGTTTTTGAAATTTATAGTTTACAATTCAATGCTTTTGTTTCAATAATACTAGTATTTTTGCTATTTTTTAAGCAACGCTTTAATATATACAAAACGCTTAAATAGTCACGACATTTTTTTTATTGCCCTTGTAGGCAGACGAGCACACGGTCCACCTGTAGGTCAGTGGTTACCGTCGCCCATGGACTTAAGCAATGCCAGGGGCAGAGCCAAGCCGCTGCCTACAAAAGTATATTTACGAAAGTATATTTTTTTGTTTGCAGACTGCCCCTAACATTGATGAAAATCTTTTCTATTTTTGGCCCCGATTATAATCCTACAAGTTTTTTTTTTTTTTTTTTTTTTATTGCTTTGATGGGTGGACGAGCTCACAGCCCACCTGATGTTAAGTGGTTACTGGAGCCCATAGACATCTACAACGTAGACGCGCCACCCACCTTGAGATACAAGTTCTAAAGTCTCAGTATAGTTACAACGGCTACCCCACCCTTCAAACCGAAACGCATTACTGCTTCACGGCAGAAATAAGCAGGGCGGTGGTACCTATCCGCGCGGACTCACANGTTAAGTGGTTACTGGAGCCCATAGACATCTACAACGTAGACGCGCCACCCACCTTGAGATACAAGTTCTAAAGTCTCAGTATAGTTACAACGGCTACCCCACCCTTCAAACCGAAACGCATTACTGCTTCACGGCAGAAATAAGCAGGGCGGTGGTACCTATCCGCGCGGACTCACAAGTGGTCCTACCACCAGTAAAGTACACAAATATGCCCAACAATCGACAAACGAGGACGCCATTAATAAATCAAGCAAGTCTGGCTCCCCGTGATTTGTGTATTACGTATTGTGTTTACATTTAACCCTCGAATTTAAAAACAGCATAAACTAAATACTGCTATCTTAACAGACACAGATGTAGGTATATTAAAAATACCCAGTTTTATTTGCCTATCAATGCAGCAAGCCTAACCTGCATTATTTGCTCAAGGTCCCCAACGTAAAATATATTCGTATTTCGTATATAAATGCGTAATTCGAAGCAGTTCCATCTTATTAGAGCGATTTTCATTAATCACGCTTATGTTTTTTTTAATGGATGAAATAAGTATTTTTTATTTGTATTTTTATTTTATTATATTTATTTTCATTAATAGTGCATATTGTGGATCCTCATCTTCCCCTAATATTTTGTTCCGTTGCAATAACTTGAGATGACGTTTTTATCTAATGCATCTAATTGCGGAAAAATCTGATAATAATGGAATTACCTGACCATAGCTAGAGGAATTTTTATAAAATCTAGCAATCTACTCAATTTCTTCCCTATAATCTGGCCTTGGAGCACACGTTTCTGCGCAACCAGACAAAAAATTGTTGTTTTTGCGCATTCAACAAAAAGCGATTCTTAATCTTGAGGTTTTTGTAACGGAGTTGTTAGTATGAAAGTCCGTCTAAAGCAGTCTTTCTCAAAGTGGGCGATAACGCCCCCTGGGGGGCGTTTGAAACCTAGAGGGGGGCGTTAAGGGGCCTAGGAAAAAATGGGGGGCGTTGATGTGGGTTAGGGGGCGCTGTAAAATTTGTAATTTCATTTACTTTATAGTATTTTAAATTTTACTTAAAATTAAAACTCACCTACTACACAATAACGAATAATTAGTTTATATTTCTACCCTGTATGATGTTATAAAAACTTAAAATAATTAACATAGATTTTGTAGGATAGCCCACACACCGTACGCAATCAAGTTGTAACAAGTTTCTGCGGAACATGATCGATGATAGTTAAAAAATTAGAGCAATTTTACCTTAATTACATTGACAGAAATTATTTTAAACATTAGAAAAAAACTACCATGCAGAGTTTTAAAATATTACGCATACGTAAACTAACACAAATTGAGGTTTTCTTTACTTTCTTTCTTGTTTTTTACATAAGGGCATTTTAAAGCATTTTCCTAGCATTTTACAAGAAATTACTGATGTAAGAATCATAATTTTTATATAAAATGGAAATGCGTATATAATTATTCAAAAACTTGCCTTAGATTATTATTTTTTACAATTTACCCATTACCGTCCAATGTATAGTAAGCCTAAACAGCTCACTTATTGTAAACATTGTTTACTATTTTATTTCTATATAATAATAGGTTGGGGAAAAAGTTTCTTCGCATTTTTTAAGAAAATTCACAACATTTTTTAATATAGTTTATTCACATTTAACTAAAGTATGTCGGTACCATTTTGTTCGATAACTTTTTGCCATCTTGTAGGTAGGGACATGATCCCATTGCTATAGAAATTTTGGGCCTTAGATCAAAATACCGCGACAATTGGTTTTGGCAGTCCTCTCGTGATGCTAACCTGAGACTGCCTAAAGAATTCTGAAGAGACCGAAACAGGTAGAAATCTGAAGGTGCAAGGTCAGAACTATACGGCGGATGCATTAGCACCTCCCAGCCAAGCTCTCTTAATTTTTGCTGAGTGGCTAAAGATGTGTGAGGTCTAGCGTTATCGTGATGAAAAACCACACCCCTTCTGTTGATTAATTCCGGCCGCTTTCTCTCAACTTCTTGCTTTAATCTCATCAGTTGTTCGCAGTAGAGTTCAGAATCGATGGTCCTGCCTGGTGGTAACAGCTCATAATGTATAATGCCCTTCCAATCCCACCACACACACAGCATCACCTTGTTGCGAGCTAACCCGGGTTTCGCCAGAGTCTGTGAAGCCTGACCGGCCTTTGACCACAACCTTTCTCGTACGTTCTTGTCGTACGTGATCCACTGTTCATCACCAGTTATCAGCTTCTTCAAAAATNAAACAGCTCACTTATTGTAAACATTGTTTACTATTTTATTTCTATATAATAATAGGTTGGGGAAAAAGTTTCTTCGCATTTTTTAAGAAAATTCACAACATTTTTTAATATAGTTTATTCACATTTAACTAAAGTATGTCGGTACCATTTTGTTCGATAACTTTTTGCCATCTTGTAGGTAGGGACATGATCCCATTGCTATAGAAATTTTGGGCCTTAGATCAAAATACCGCGACAATTGGTTTTGGCAGTCCTCTCGTGATGCTAACCTGAGACTGCCTAAAGAATTCTGAAGAGACCGAAACAGGTAGAAATCTGAAGGTGCAAGGTCAGAACTATACGGCGGATGCATTAGCACCTCCCAGCCAAGCTCTCTTAATTTTTGCTGAGTGGCTAAAGATGTGTGAGGTCTAGCGTTATCGTGATGAAAAACCACACCCCTTCTGTTGATTAATTCCGGCCGCTTTCTCTCAACTTCTTGCTTTAATCTCATCAGTTGTTCGCAGTAGAGTTCAGAATCGATGGTCCTGCCTGGTGGTAACAGCTCATAATGTATAATGCCCTTCCAATCCCACCACACACACAGC